AGAATACAGCTGGGGAGAGAACTTGACAGGTGAGAACTGACATTGTGCTGACTGTGCCAAAAGAGAGTATTTATTGCCTAAACCTCTCTTGAGGAAATAGGGATCATTCCCTTAATCATACGATATCAAACTTTTAAATTGCAAAACCTGTGCACTAAAAGGTTGTCCCATATTTACATAGGAATTATATCTCTATGCTACTAAATAAAGCATTATGTAAATATAAAATAAAACCCACCCCAAAAGACAATTTAAAAGAATGAGATTTTAAAATTACTTGTTTCATGTTCTCTTCTCTGACTATCCAAATAAATAATTTTGACTTGACTTTGAAGACCATGACTCTAGATGAACTTAATAGATGGACAGACTCATTAGCCATGAAAAGTTTGAAAGCTACCTATGGGAGATGGAAGCATCTCGAATTTTCCTTGACTTTAATCTCTTATAAACTCAGATGGGATCTTGAGCATCGACCCCAAAAGCACCTGTTTTGTTCAGTTTTCTTTGAGCACTCATGAATGTTTACTATATTTAGGGGAATGAAAATATTTTGTATATTCAGCAAATAATCATTAGTCATATCAGGGCATTATCCAGGATAGAGTAGATTATGCAAAAGTGAAAAGCAAACCCCAAATGTCCATGTCCTAAAAAATAAATGTTTATTACTCATCAAACTACACATTTATCATCAGTAATGAGGAATTCCCCTGTATTTGTATGGAGGCTTAGGCTAGCAGATGTTTCATCATCTAGATTATAAAATGGTAGCCAGTGCACAGAGAATCAAACACTAGCTCTTCAACCACTTTCATTCCTCCTTAGTTAACCTGAGAAAGTTGTGCAGACCACATCAGCATCAAGAGATATCTCCAATATGCCATGAGGTAGAGGCAATCTAGAGATTGGTAAAAACAAAAAAGTCATTTCTTTTTGATTATTTTTTAAAATTGTAGATGGGCATGATTTATTTTTATGTGGTGCTGAGGATTGAATCCAGTGTCTCACACGTGCAAAGCAAGTGCTCTACCACAACTCCAGACCAGTAGTAATCATTTCTACAAAGAAAAATAGCAGTGAACCAAAGATGAATTCCTTCATCAAACAGGGTGATGTCAAATAAAGGATGTAACCCAATCAAAGTAACTATTTTACGATAGTCAGTGTTAAGTGCCAAAGAGGAGAGTCAAATAAAGCTCTCTATAGTTTAGAGGTAAGATGAATAATTAAAAATACATCATAAAAAATCATAAAGAAGAGGCTTATAATAATTACATAGTACAGGGACTGTTCTTAGCCAGTTTAAGAAATCTCTAACCTAGAGATGCTTTGGTCCTTATCTTTACTTATTTTATATCTTTAACAAAACTAAGGACCATCTTTGTTTATTTTCTCAGTAAGTTTTTCTTAGTATATCTATAGAAAAAATTCCCTAAGGTGGAATTGATTTTTGGAGCAAAGGGTTAATTAAATTCATAGTTAAACTTTGATACAAATTGCCTATTTACCCTTAAGGAAGTCCTTATTCCCCAACACATGTTTGAAAATGTCTTTCCTCACGCTCTTATCATCATTATATTTCATTTTAGTTTCTTTTACCCATTTAAGTTTAAAATGGTAATGGTGCTCTCTTTCTCTGCTTTCTGATCATCATGTGAGCTGCTTCCCTCCACTATTCTCTTCCACCATGATGTTCTGCCTCACTTTGAGCCCTGAGGAATGGAGCCTGTTGTCTGTGGATTGAGACCTCTGAAACCATGAGCCCCCAAATAAACTTTTCCTCCTCTACAATTGTTCTTATCAGATCTTTTAGTCACAGCAGTGAAAAAAGTTGACTAAAAGAGAAATTGAGAAGTGGGATTGTTGCTGTGACTGACTTGACCATATGGTTCAGAAGTGTTTTGAGCTTTTTGGAATTGGTGGGAGGAATTTTGAGATATTTAGTAGTGCAAGATGAAAATGTTTTAGGTTGTTGTATGCAGAGCTTAATGGTTGATTTAGGTGGGAATTCAGAAGATCAGAATGCCAATAGAACTCTAGACAGTGAAAACAGGGCTCAAGAGGGTTTAGAGGAAAAGGAGCACACTGTTGGTAATTGGACTAGAGGCCATTTGTGTTATATTCTGAGAAGTTGTCTGCATTTTGCTCATATCCTGAGACTTTCTGTGAAGCTGACTTTAAAAGCAATGGATTTCTTAATCTGGTGGAAGAACTATCTAGGCAGCATAGCATTCAGGCAATGGCATGGATATTGCTGGCAGCTGTTAGCCAAGTTATTGTGATAATCCAGAGCAGAAAGTAGAGCAGAAAGATTTTTAAAACTTGGACTTGAAAGGTGAGAGTAAAACTGGATTTAAGGAAGTTGTAGTTGTTAAAGACAAAACAGCTAAAGAAATGCTAAAAACTTGGCTAAGAAAGATGGCTTGAGGCATCTCAGGAGCTGGCAAGACCACACCCATTTCAGACTCAAGGAAATTAAAGTAAAAATTCTATTGAGAAGAGAGCACAAGAGGGCTAGGAAGTTTTTTTCAATGTGCTCAGCCACCCAGGCACTCAGAGACTAATACAACCAGGGTTCCTGAAGGCTTGGCTACTGCTTGAAATGGCAGCAGAAGTTGGCATCAACAATGTGGTTTTGCAGGAATGCAGGATACTAGTGTTAGAAGATCGTGGAGGCTTCCCCCAATATTTCTTAGGAAGGCCTGAGAGTCCAGGAAAAGTGCAGGGGGGTTGGAGTCCCTGCAGGTAGCCCTTTAGCAGGTGATGTGTAGAGATTTGAGCAGGAAGCTGAAGCTGCAGTTGAGACCCCTGAGATTACAAAATGCCAGTAACTTGAGACATCATCCTAGGAAAGCTGTAGGAATTGAATAGAGACAAACCAACAGAAAGGCCAATTGAGCTGTAACCAACATGGTCATAGGAGTGTAGCTATATAAGCCCTTTGGAGAGAATATCATCATACCATGTGCCCCAGATGCTGAACATGGAGCTACAGGATTTCAGTCTTGCTTTGGTCCTATTACTTCTTTTTATGTCCCCAATTTTGTGAATGGAAATATTTACTTCCTACCATTATATATTAGATACTTGTAAATTGCTTTTAATTTGTTAGGTGCTCACAATGCAAGATTGCCTTGAACCTCAGAGAAGACTTTGGGCTTGACCTTTGAGCAATTTCTGAACTGTTGAGGCCATGGGGACTATTGGGAATGGACTAAATGTATTTTGCATTGTCAGATGAGTTTGAGCTTTTGGGGGTCAGGGTAGAATATTTGGATGTGAGGTGTCTCTGAAAAGCTCATGTCTGAGACAATGCAAGAAGGTTCAGAGTAGAAATGATTGGGCTGTGAGAGTCTTAAGCCAATCAGTGAATTAATCCCCTGATGGGGTTTAACAGACAGGTAACTGAAGTGGTTGGGTGTGGCTGGAGGAGGTGGTAATTGGGGGTGTGGCTTTGGGGTGTATATTTATATCTGATGAGTGGAGTTTCTCTCTCTCTCTGCTTCATGTGAGCTGCTTCCATCTGCCATACTCTTCTGCCATGTTGTTCAGCCTTACCTCAAGTCCCGAGGAATGGAGCATGTTAATGTACATTGAGACCTCTGAAACCCAAACAAACTTTTCCTCCTCAAAATAAAATAAAATAATACTGGTTTGACTTTCATTTCTTTATTAGTAAGATATATTACCAAAATCTGTGACTTGGGGACAGATTATGTTTTGTTTATGTTTTATTTCATATTGGGCTATTATCTATAAAATTGATTTTATATACATTTCAGAAATTGTTTATAGATGTGAAAATACTTTCCTGGTTTACATAAATTTTATGTTTTGATTAATTTTTTCAATTTTAACTATACAGAAATATTTTAATTTTTATGTATACATAGAAAATGTTTTTGTTTTATGTCTATATGGAAAGGTTCCACATTATAGAATTTTGAATATAATAATTCATTAAATTATTTTTGGAATTTTATTATTTTTAACCTTTAAACTTTTAGATTTTAGAGTAAAATTAGATAAGCATTTATATTTTCTCTTTTTTTCCTTAATGGATAGCCAGTTACCACAACAATATTTATGGAATATCACTTTTCCTCCACTTATTTGAAAAACCATCTTTACAATTTCATTTGGTTTGGTGTTTTTGGCTTTCCATTCTGTTCCATAGACCTGTCTACATCTTTTCCACTGCCAAATTGTTTTAATTATTGTCACTTAATAATATGATTTCATATTGGCAGGATTGGTCCTTCCTGATCATTTTTTTATAATCAAAAGTTTCCTGGCTATTCTTGAATGTTTTTTTTTCCAGATAAAGCTCAGTATATTTCCTGCAGCTTCTTAGACTTTCTATTCATATTTTAATTAATATTTCTTTAACTTATGGATTAATTTTGGAGAGATTGACATCTTTTCATTACTTTTTCTATTTATGATTATGGATTATCTTTCTTTAGCTTTACTCTTGAAAACTTGATATAATAATATTAAGTGTGTTTTAAGTGATTGTTAACATTGCTTTGTTTAGGTTTATAATACTAGAAATTACTAGAAAATTTTTTTACATTTTTTGTTCCTATTATAAAGGGAGCCATTCTTAATATATATATAGTATATGAAAGCTATTTAGTTTTGTGTACTTATGTTTGATAACACCAACTAATTGACCTTCCTTATTTATTATGTCTGGGTATTAGGTATATTGGCATATTAGATGTATAATTTTTAAAAAGATGCTTTGTTTTTATTTTATTTTTATTCATTTATTTTTGTATGTTGTCTAAATTAACTGGCTAGTTCAGAAATACATTAAAACTCATGCTGATACTGGGTAACTTTTTCTTGCATTCCAAACAGGCATCCATCCATGCAGATGATATTTTTGGTAGTAAAACACACCCAGCAGGGAATACACATTGTATATATTTACAATTTTGTATCTTTGGCTTTTGTTTGTAACCATTAGTGCCGCAGTCTGGCTGGGCACTGGCCGGTTAGCTCAGTTGGTTAGAGCTTGGTGCTGATAACACCAAGGTCGTGGGTTCCATCTCCATATGGGCCACCAATTGCCGCAGTCTGGCTGGGCACAAAATCAGAGCCACTCAAGCAGGAACAAACTTTATTTCTGAAACTCCCACCAATGCCACATGCTTTCCCGGGAAATATGCAGAAACACACACACAGCGTTCTCCTGGGCCACACTACACCAATAGGAAGGTCCCTCCTCCGGAAATCCCTCCTACCGCATTTCCCCAACCAATGGGAACTCTCTGGGAGTCCCACTAGAGCTCCAAAGTAGCAGGCCCAGGCAGACAGCAGGGGTCTAATATCCAATTGAATGCAGATCTTAACATAATCATATCATCTCAATGGCTTGCTGGCATCACCTTTCAACCAAAAATGCCATGTGTCATTCCTACTTGGCTATGGCTCTCAGCACATTAGTATCAGCCAAAAATCTATTTCAGTCATGTCTCTCTCTCTCCACTTAATGATAATAGGTGACTTAAATTTATTAGGCATCCACTATACTCTCTATTCCTTTTCCTTGAGCCATATTGTCAGGATTGAAAGGCTTCATTGGATCCACTTTTACTGATTTGCAGATTTCAAGGGTGATGTTTATAGCCACATCCTTGATTCAATCTTTCCCATGGACTGAGTTTTAATTGGAAATTTTATTTTTTTATATTTTTTATATTCATTTTTTAGTTGTACATAATACCTTTAATTTGTTTGTTTATTTTTATGTGGTGTTGAGGATTGAACGCAGGGCCTTGTGCATGCCAGATGAGTGCTCTACCACTGAGCCACAACCCCAGCTCATGGAAATTTTATTTTTAAAGGCATTTTCCAGTTTAATTGTTTACCTGTTAGAGATGTGAAAAGAAATTTCAGTATCTCCCAGTTGTATTTTTTGACATAATCTGTTCCTTTCACTTACTGCTCACAAACTGGCCAGTTCTTTTCTGAGTTCATCTTTTTTAAAAAAATAGTTCCCTGTCAAATACAGCCAATAAAAATCAGTTCAAAATCCCAACATCCTGTTTCTCAGTTGTTCACCTTTCCCTGTAAGTTCTCCATGCACATGGAAGCATGATTGTGTCTTGTGAGGCCTCCTATGGAGTGGCTGGCATAACAGATGATTATAAGCCAGAAGGGCACGATGGTATAAAACATCAGGACACTGCAAATGAAAGCTAGATCTATAAGCTTTGTGAGGGGAAAAAACACCCCCTGCCCCTGGCCTCTCAAATGAGAAGCAGAAAGTCTTCAGACATCTCCTTAATGGCATTTCAGCCAACAACAGAATGGAGCAAAGCCTTCAAAAGTCTGAAAAGAATTCAGAATTATGCTTCTAAATGTAATTTATCAATTATGTAAATGAATAATCTACAGACATTTTTAGAGGCTTAAGATCTCAGAATTTTATTTCCCATGAATTACTTCTCAAGAAGCCATAGGGTTTTTGGCTCCCCTAAACAAGGAAGGAAACACAAATATAAAAACAGAGAATCCACACCCAGTAAAGAGACAGCTCTAAGAGAGACTGATTGAAGGATGTGAAATTTTCAATGTAATATGAGTACATTTAGGAGTGATTTTGACAATTTGAGGGAGTTTGGGATTGGATATAGCAATAAGTTTATGGGAAATTAAGCAATAAAACAGGCAGTTTTGGGCTCTAGGAAAAAATAAACATTTGGGCAAGAGAAGGCAAGTAATCAGAGTATATTGCTTAGCTGTGAACATTAGTATAATATATACTGACACTTAACCAAAGCTTTAGGAGTACATTAAGAGGATCTGTGCCTGTTAGAAGTGTAGATAGGGAGCGGTGTTGGGTTGTTTGAGAACTTAACCATCTTAATTCACAGATAATATATTTAAAATGTATAAAAATTAAAATGTATGTAAATATGGTTTGGCATAGTTGTAGTAGAATACAATACCTTTATTTTATTTATTCATTTATATATGATGCTGAGGATTGAAACCAGGGCCTCACATGTGCTTGCCAAACCATATTTATATACATTTTACAGAAATTTAGAGTAAAAAGTTGCTTTTAGAGGGTTGCCTTCTATAAGACTTGAACAACTATAGTACTCTTCAAATCCTGTGAGTGAATAGCCTTTTATATTTGTAGATATTGTGTCACCTCCTGCTCTCTCTCTCTCTCCACCTGACAATCATAGAGTATAATCCAATGATTGTATGTAGTGTCTTACTTTTCTCAGATAAAACTGAACCTGACCTTAATCTTGTCATGACAGTCCTTGTTTTTGCTCTTCTTTGTGTCTTCATAGTTAAGACTTTAATGTTTTTATTAATGCATAATAGTTATACATAATAATAGGGTTCTTCTTGACATAGTCATTAATACATAAAATAAAATTCACTCCATATTAAACCTCAGTGTTTCCCTTTTTGTGGCCTTTCCCCCTCCCAATGCCCTTCCTCTACTCTGTTTATCTGTCTTCTATTAGTTTATTGTTTTCTTTTTAATTGGTGCATTATAGATACATATAAAAGTGGAATTCGTTGTGATATATTCATATATGCCCATAGTATAGTTTGCCCATATTCATTGTGCTGTTTTTTTCCCCTTCCTATTCCTCTTCCCTCTACCTTGTTTCCCTTTTACCTGTTCATGGTTCTTTATTCTATTTTCATGGGAATCCTCCATTAAAAAAAAATTCTGTATTTCTCTCTTGCTTCCACATATGAGAGAATGCCTTCATCCAACCCTTGACTTTCTCAGTCTAGCTTATTTCATTCAGTGTGATGTTCTCCAGTTCCATCCATTTACCAGCAAATGATATTTCATTCTTCTTTGTGGCTGACTCCATTATATATGAATATATATCACATTTTCTTTATCCATTTGTCTGTTAGCATGCACTTGGGCTAGTTCCACAACTTGGCTATGGTGAATTGCACTGCTATAAACGTGTGGGCAAGTATCATTATTGTGTGCTGATTTTAGTTCTTTTGAATAAATTCTGAGGAGTGGGATGACTGAGTCATATGGTGGGTCCACTATTAGTCTTTTGAAGAATCTCCATAGTCTTCTCCAATGTGATTGTACTAATTTGCAGTCCCACCAATAATGTATGAGTATACCTTTTCCCCCACATACTCACCAGCAATTATTATTATTTGTATTTTTGATGATTGCCATTCTGAGTGGGGGGAGATGAAATCTCTGTAATTTTGATTTGCATTTCCCTTATTGCTAGGGATGTTGAACATCTTTTCATATTTCTGTTGGCCATTTGTATTTTACTGAGAAATGCCTGTTTAGTTTATTTGCCCATTTATTGACTGGTTGTTCTAAAACTTTTGATGTTAAGTTCTTTTGAGTTAATTATATATTCTGGGTATTAATGCCCCATTGGAAGAGATATTTTCAAAGATTTTTTCCCATTCTTTATGCTCTGTCTTCACATTCTTAATTGTTTCCTTTGCTGTACAGAAGCTTTTTAATTTGAAGTCATCTCATTTATTGATTCTTGCTTTTATTTCTTGAGCTTTGGGAATCTCATTAGGGAAGTCCGTGCCTGTATCCACATGTTGGAGTGCTGACTCTGCTTTCTTCTAGCAGTTACAGTGTTTCTTGTCTAATTCTTAGGTCTTTGATACACTTTGAGTTGGATTTTTGTGCAGAGTGAGAGATATGGATCTAGTTCTATCCTCCTACACAGGGAAATCCAGTTTTCCCAGCACATTTGTTAAAAATGCTGTCTTTTTCTCCAACATGTTTTAGGCACCTCAAGGATCAGACTGTTTGTATGTGGATTTGTCTTTGTGTCTTCCGTCTATTCCATTATCCTTCAGGCCTTTAAAAAAAATGCTAATATCATGCTGCTTTTGTTTCTGTAGTTCTGTAGTATAATATGAGATTAGGAATTATGATGCCTCCAACATCACTCCTTTTCCTCAGTATTGCTTTGTCTGTTCTTTCATTTTTCCATATGAATTTTAGGACTTTTCCCCCTAGTTTTGTGAAGAACGTCATTGGTATTTTGATGGGAACTGAACTGAAACTATAGACCACTTGTGGTAATATGACCATTTTCACAATATCAATTCTGCCTATCCATGAGTGTGGGTAATTTTTCCATCCTCCTAGTTTTTTTTAATATTTATTTTTTAGTTGTAGTTGAACACAATACCTTTATTGTATTTATTCATTTATATGTGATGCTGAGGATTGAAACCAGGGCCTCACATGTGCTAGGAAAGCAGTCTACCACTGAGCCACAACCCCAGAGCCCCCTCCTAGGTTTTTTGTTTGTTTGTTTGTTTTTGCAATTTCTATAGTTTTTATTGTAGAGGTTTTTCACCTGCTTGGTTGGCAACTCACTAAGGGTAGAGGTAGGATTGCTGATGAGGTTCCTGTAGCTCCCAAATTCTTCTTTCTATGATTATAAATGATACACAGAAAAATGAGAACTAATTTTTCATAGAGTTAGGGTTCGATGAACATGAGAATTTAAATGTTTGTAGACTTATTTCCAATCAATTTTGATAAGGGTAATGTTGAAGTATGTATAATCCTGCTTAGGCTGAAGCATTTTTTCTTTAATTAACAAAATGTTTTTCTTTAGTTAATTTCAGTATTATTTTCAGGGTGACCGTGGACTTCCCGGTTTTCCTGGGCTTCATGGAATGCCAGGATCAAAGGTTGAAAACATTTATTCCTTTTTAATACAGCAATACCATATTTTTATTTTATATTATAAATATAATATAAAATATATATTTTATATTATAAATATATTATATATAGATGCTCATATATAAGTAAAGACAAGTATGTTAAAATAAATGATTAAGATTAATATAGTGGCTTACATAAAAATCTAAAAAAATTCTCCTTAAAGTTTTTAGTTATGACTGTGTAATACACTATTTAAAATTGATAACAAGTTTACTATACACAAGTTCTTTTAAATGTAAGCCCTAAACTGTAAGCCCTATTATAGTACCAATTGGGCTTATGAAGCCTGGAAAATAGGACTTTTGTAAACAAACTATAAATTATTTTATTTTTAT